ACACTTGGCTGACAGTGGTCATTTGGTTAGCTCTTGTTACTGAGTTATATCAGGAGCCCATGGCTGTTTGTTCTATCTTCTGTACTCAAATATTAGATAATTTTCTCTAGCCCTTTGAAAGTGACTTTTGGTGGCCATTGTCTCTTCTTGAACTTTCATGCAGGCAACGTTCATCTATGTCAAAGACTGTTTATCTTCAGCATGTCTTTTTTCTCATCATCACTTTTACAGTGTATATAATGCAAAACGGCTACGGTCTAAAACAACGATAAATAGAAGAGTAGGTGTTAAGCAGTCATTGATTCAACTCTCAACTGCTACTGATTTTTTAATGAAGTGTTTATTTGTTAGTTACAGTTCTTCATTCATTTCTTCATTTATTCCTTCCTGTCAGTGCTTGTTCAAACCTCAAGTTACATTAGATATGTATTTGAAATGTCAGTTGTTCGAGCTGTATCCTCCCTCTATCAACATAGGTGCATAGTCAATAGAGGCCCTTCTTTTACATTTTTAAAGGGAAGGAGCTAGGAGATTGCTGCCATTTCAGTAAAACAAGGGTCAACAATGTACAATACCACTGACAGTCAACCAGTACACCACTGACAGTCCAATAATTATGCAGTTGACTGTTGATTGTAACATACATGTAACAGGTGAAGTGTCGGCCAAGTGTTGACCAACATACCGAACAAGTGCCAACCGATATTGGCGACCGATGGTCCACCAACTTGAATCACATGTCGACTGACACTTGGCCGAATTTCAGTCAACATATTGGCATATAATGATACATGTATCAACTGACACTCGGTCAACATGTTGACTGATAATATCGACTGATACTTGACTGAAAGATGCCTTTCTCTGTTTTCAAAGTGAATATGTGACACTGCCCCTTTGAAATATCTACATTCATTCCTTTTTATGTTGTTTGGGGATCTGATTTTTATGTTGAATTCATTGAGGTTGCTGGTGAACTTGAAGTACGTGGTCAAATTAAACTGAAATTCAGAGATGTCACTGGTAGTCCTATTGTTGTTACACGGACATTGGTATCTCAGCAAAAGGTACATGAGAATACATGGTAGCCTAACTGATTGTTTTATACATTGCATTGATATTATTATTGTTCTTGGAATCCAGTCATCAAGTGCATTTGCACATTCTGTTTGTTACTGTCCAGTTATTTTCTTTAATTTTAATTTGAACCACATTTTCAAATACATTGTACTTTGAGCTAGACTACATTTTAAAGGTGTATCAAGCAAGTAATAACGTGCAAAACAAATAGTTACATGACTGTACATTTTTTCTTGTGTCTTTGGTCCTCACTTGTT